TACTCATTTTAAGAACATTCTGTATACAGAATATAAAAGAAATACTTTCCTGTAATTACTGCTTTTCTTTAAAAAATGGCAATTGTCCTACTTTTTCCTATTTAAAAAGTTAAAAAATCAGTAAATCTTTTTTTTATTTTTAACAATTTCTTTATCTATTTTCCTGTGAGTGGGAAAATGTACTTTAAAAGAAACTTAGCTTGCTCTCACATCTAGATTACATTACTGGCAAATAAATACTTTGTATGTTTTCAAGGGAGTGAGAAAACAGGTAACAGGGAGTAGGCACATGTCATATCTGGCCCTAAAAAATTTATCCCTGTTGGACATGACCCGTGTTCCTCAGTTCCGCTGGGATCCAGAAACATCATCGTAGTTTGTGATTTGGACAGAAGATTTTGCTTGCACTCTCATTTTCTAAGGCATATTTAGCAAATATTTTCAGGATTATCAAAAATCCAGATTCTGCATTTAGGAATAATTATATACAGCAGGTCTTTCTTGCTGAGCCCCAGTTTTAAATATCCGTATTGTCTTCTTTCTACTGTTTCCAGTAGACGTGGAAAAAGAATGCTTCAAGGACCTGAATTAGGACTGTCTTTTTTAATCAATATTGATCAAAAGCAGCTTGAACCAAATCAGCCACCACTGAAAGGCTGATTTAGTAATAGTTTGCTACAAAAAGCTTTGATCCGTAGCATTTTTTATTGTGATGTTGGCTTCAAGCCTGCTTAGAATTGCAGTGGTCTATTGCAGAGCTCGCTCTCCATTCTCTTGATTTGCAGTTTTACATGTGCTTGCTAAAGAAAAATGTGGGATCGCTGCTCAGATGTAGCTGGTTTTACTTGGCTTTTATTAGGTAATAAAAATAAAGATTAGTGTACTTAGAGAATAAAAATGTTTTGCTTTCAGCTTTGCAAAATAATTTTATTAAAAATGCTAATAAATTCTACATTGTAAAGGAAAATAATCAGAACATTGGCCTTTGAACCCTAAATGAGCATTTTGGTTTTGCTATGAATAAAAGCAGTAAAATAATTGTTCATCCTTATTTTATGTTGGTATTTAAGCAGGAACACCTATCAGCATTTTGAAAACATGTTTTTGAAAACATAAACATGCTTTTGGAGCATGTGTTTTTTAGGGTAGGTCGTTTTGAATGTGTAAAGAAATAATAAAAAAAAATGCATTGTGTAAGAATAGAGACTTTCCATTCTTCAAATTCTTTCTGGTCTCTTGAGTATAGAAGTATTTGTGGGGCTGAGTGCGGATGAGCCTTTGAAGGCGGGTGTCCTGGTAGGTTATTGCTCAGTGCTGCTCAGCAGCCTTGTCCCGTGGGTTTGGTGAAGGTAGGAGGAGGGGGTCTGGAGCCAGGCCGGGATATGTAACTTATCTGATATCTGCCAAGATAAAACAGTAAGTGGAGGATTTTGAGGCCAAACCTACCTTTTTCCCTTTTTTTTTTTTTTTCGTCCTGGTACTTAGAGTCTAATTATTTGATATGCTTCATTTTTCTGGAATGAAACCTCCAATTTATTTCACATTTAAAGAAGCCACGTCAAGCATACGCAGCAAAGTTCACTGTGACTCTTTGCCTTGCAAGCGGTTTGTTTTTAGCCGAGCCTTTGGGCGCCTCGTGTTGCTGAACTGCTCCGAGCGCTGCTGCTCTTCCCACTGCGCTTCCCGTAGGGGCTCCCGGGATTGTGTCCTGCCCCGGCATCAACACCCTTCGTGCTCACTGAATGCAGATGGGAAGGGTGCAGAATGCCTCTGTGAACTGTGTTTAATACTGATGTGAGATTTAGAAAAAGATAATGTCTCTCTCCAGCTGTTAGAAATGGCACATGAGAACACCTGGATGCTCACACTTGGGCTTTCTTGGTTATTAAGTAGTTAAGTGATGTTGATGTTTTCGGTTTTGACGAGCGTTCATTTCCATCATGGTAAAAAGATATGTAAAAAAAAAAAAAAAGATGTGTGGATAAAGGCTATGTGAGGAGCGTGATAATTATTTCAGGGGTGAGCATGCTAGAAAGATAAAATTTAGCTCTTCAAGCATGCTGAGATATGAAAAAGGACACTTAACCATCCTAGTTATGCCCTGTGATGCCAAATCAATCTTTTCCATGTATCCCTTAGCCGCAACAGAGTTGTGCTTTCCTGTTTGTTGGGTCATTTCTTCTTTAAACAGTACCAGAGCCCAGTCTTCTTTTATTTTCCATGCAGTTCTCCTCAGTGCATTTTACTTAGGGGGTTTAAATGACTGAAGAAAGTATTTTCCGGCACTCATGTGGTGTTGGCACCAGGACGGTAGCAATTGAAGCTGACTAAATTGTAACTTACGGATTTGGGATTGTGGTGACAGAACTTCCTTTTCACTCTCTCTAAAAGCTCAGCAATGGACCTCAGATTAGTTTAGTGAAGACTTAAAGTTGTGGTAAAAGGATTCTTTAACAAATGGAGTTTATAAATTATATATGTTTTAAGTACTTTCACAGTCGTGTAAGTTTTTAGTTTTGGGAGAGTTGATGAACAGTGTTCACTAGAACGGTTAATCTTTGTGATGGAGTAGCGGAAGTTGTGAGGACCATTATTTCAAGTCTTATGAAGGAATCTGGACTTGACCTTAATGTGTAGAACAAGTGTAAATACAACCAACCAGACATAAGCTCCTAAGACCAAACATGCTTGGCTTTAAGCTTTTCTTTTACCTATTACCAAGTCTATAAGTGTATACTTTATGCATATAACTCACTGTCTTGTGTTTGGCTTAAAGCTTGTCTGAGGTATTCATATTATAGTGATTTTCAAGATATTTGGAACTATTAGATTTTCTTGATTACTCTGGGAGAGCATTCACCTGCCTAAGAGCAGTGTTAAAGAACTGAGCCAGGGTCCGAGTAAGGACTGGTCTACAGCATGGCTTGGCAAACCGTACTTCTCCCCCAGAAAATACTTGGCAGCAGCATTTAGCAAGTTTGCTAGAACCCTGCTAGTAATAACTATGTTTAATATAGCTATAGAGGTAGAGCTAGCGTGATTCTGAGTCCAGGGAGGATAATGTAGCAACTGTGCTTGATGTAATGAGTAGAGGTGGACTAAGCCTATAAAAACATATGCTGAACAACAAGAGCAAAGTTCATCTGAGCCAGTGGAGGCTATAGGGAAATGGAAGGTACAGTAGCTTTAGTTACTATAAGAAATTGAATTTAGGGCCAGGAGTACTGCAAGCCAGAAGATGAACTCATTCACTGCATCAGGCTTTGGCGTTTTTGAAGAGCAACGAGTGGCAACTGTTAGTAGTGAACAGCTTTGAAAGCGCTTTTAGGATGAGATTTTAGGACTTTTTATGAAGGCTACGCTTGGCATAAATCCATTTCAGGACACAAACTAATAGCCTAGATGGGCGGTAAATATAAACTTTCCCATTTACGGAGCTAAAATAACTTTAAAGTTGTGTCACTGTGTCAAGCAAAGCTTGCATTCTTTTTCCTTAGTGAACTTTCAGAAAGGAGAATGGAACAGAAGATTAAGTAGAACGGGTTGAAAAACAACCCATCAGAAGGGTATTGGCCACACATCAAAAACCTAATGTACTTCAAAGAGCTAGAGAAAGCCAAAACAAAGTGTTTTTTACTTTGGTGTCTATGTAAAGCAAGTGCCAGCAATAATTAGCGGAGAGTGCAATCTTTGCATGTACCGTTCAGTATTTGTTCCTCCAAACCACTTTTTTATTCTTAAGTTTTAAGCAGTACATTGCACTTTCAAGTTAGGAGTCAAAACACAGATAAAAGTAATGAAGTCATTTTTTGACTTTGTAAAATAGGTTGCAGGAGTTTTCACATACTAAATGCAGGCATTCAACTTACAAGTTGAATTCAATACATACAAGAAATTTATCTGTATGAACAGGGGGAGATGCTTAAAAGTGCCTTGTGAAAAAAGCATTTAATGACCAACCCGGTCATTAAAATGCGCAAAGAAAACCCAAAATTAGTTCTAAGTTTTCTTATTATAAAAGTAGTATTTAAGTAGAGATCGATTTAACAATCTTCTTCATATTCTTCCAGGCACAAGCTATCTCATCCTTTCATTCTTGATTACTTAGGTTATCTGTGGCAAGTCCAAAGAGGAAAAATAGATACTAATAGATATAATAGAGAATAGAGCTATTTTTTTCAGTCTTTGGAGCACTTGATGTGTATAAAACAAGAAGGCAAGACAGAACTTTGTGACCAATTCACTTGCCAGAACTGATCACACATCATCTGTATTTAGCATCTAATGCCATTAGCAAAGCTTATTGGAAAGTACTGTATGTACTGGGGTGCTCATGGTGTAGCTATTAAGAATATCTGGCTTTCCATGGCCTTTTATTTATTTATTTATTTTCAGTCAACTGGTTAATCAGCAGAAGACTTCACTGCAATTGTTTAAGTGGGACGAGGTGTAGAATGGATGCCATACAGATTCAGTTGAGGGAGCCTGAAATATTGTAACTTAAATGAAACAAGTGTAAGAACATATATTTTAGTTTAGGGATTGATACAGTGCATAAAGCTGAATATTGATTCTTACCTACACTGTCTTTCCAGTCAGAGTAGTCTCCTCATGCCAAAAAAACCTTTGAGCTTACATCCCAGACTGATGTTTTAGTAAGCATGGCTTCTCTTATAACTCAAGTGTATATACTTCAACTTTCAAAGTCCTATTTCAGCTTCTGTGTTTAAGCTAACTTACATTCATGGCTATTGACATCTGAAATTCAGAAAAATCCACAACTTTTTACAGGAATTTTGTAATAATTTTATCAATTTACCCTGAGGCAATTGCCTCAGGCATGTGGCAGAACAGGCATCTGTGCATCCCCTCTGCTTTATCCCAGTATTCATCTGTGGATTAGCTTGATTACTTCATGTAGTTTTCAGTATGTTACATATATTAAGATCGCAGTAACACTATATATAACTAATTTTTGTGTTTTCTGATTCTTTTTGCAGTTGATGAAGGTCATGTTAAGGAGCTGGGCAGAGTTAAAGTTCTTCACAAGAGAACCATAATGCCTTACAGTGTGTATAAGAAAAGAAGGAAGGGGCCAAGTGATGAAGCCAGTGTTCAGCAATATGCAAGTTTGGTCGGACAGACCTGTTCAGAAAGAATGTTGCTGTTTAGAAGTTGAAAAAGTCATTAAATGGCACTTGAATGGCACCATAGTTCATTGCACTGCCACTGGGTAATATGTAATATAGTTGTGTGTTAGTACACCTGTTAAAATAGCAGTATAAAATACAGATATATATCTAGAATGTTTGAATACATGGTACTTTATTTAAAGACAAACTCCATTAAAAGTTCTGACAATACAATAAGGTTTTAGCAATATAAACTTACATAAACATGCTTGCAATATATTTTAATTAAGTAGTTCTAGCCTTTCTTTGCATTTTGAATAACTCTAAACATCTAAGCAAGATGAAGAACAGGTGTCTTTTTTATAGAGACAAAGTTTACCTACATCTAGGCTAACAATACCTAAATTACAGATGTTTTCAGGTAGCACCTTGGATATCAATTATTAAAAATTGCTGTGAAATCAATGCTCCCATTTGTATGCTTCTGAATTATTGCAAGAGAATTGAAATGTGCAGTTACTTTCTAATATGGAATTGGCATTGATTAATTCTGTTTCAATAGTATATTTAAAAATAGGAATAAACAATATTTTTCACTGCACATTTTTCCTTTATGTGAAGTATCAGGTTAGTATCTGAGATCCTAATGAAGGTAGGAATTCACAGTAGATTCTTAGTGGCCAGGGAGGCAACGTGCTGGAGAACTTTCCCCTTTAGAGACGAAACAGAGCAGTTGCACTATTCATTTACCAAAGATGTACAGCCAAGCGGCACAGACTTTTTTTTCTTTTCTTTTTTTTTTTTTTTATATAAGCCTTATCCTTTGCCTGAAAACAATGGATATATTAATGCACGTCATTAATGTGAAATAATTTTCGGGAGGTTTATGTTGTAGCTTTTTAGTGCACATTTCAGAACTGTGCTCCAAAATAACATGAGGTAAGAGTGCTGTTTTATGTTGCATTTTTCTCCTGCAGCACTGTATGGGAAAACTTTCATATCATAGAGGTTTTTAGTAACATTTGGAGCCCTGGAATTTCTGTATACTGTAACATCTAGTTTGTCCATGCTTTATCTAAATCTGTGACCACAGGAGAACCACCAGATATTATTTATGAATATTTTTATCTAAAGAGTGGAGTTGAGGAGGAAAGAGAAGAAATACTCTCTCCACTCAACGGATTGTCAAAAAACATAACGTTTTCTGGTCACACAGTATGTTGAAAGGCAATTTTTGCCCATATAGCCTGAAAATAAAACACATGAGGGAACCTTCAAATGTGATGCAAGATTTGGTAAAGGGCACAGAAGAATTCCACTATGCCTCTCAAAATCTTGAAGATTATGAAGACTATTTGATGATGCTGTGTTTCTTTTGAAATTAATAGATAAAATTGCTGTTAACTTTGGCTAGCATGGAGAGTTCTGAAGAGTTCCATTTTTGTGTCTAGCATTTGCTACTGATACGCCTTCTGCATATTTATTAGACTTTTTCTCGTGTTCTGTTTCCCTTCATAAGGAACTTTCAAGCCTACAATTAAAGTTAGGTATTTATAAAACTGAAAATTGAGTACGGCTTGAAGTTGCCATTGTGACAACTACAGGAATACCTTGGAGATATTGCGGGTTTGATTCCAGACCACCACAATAAAGTGAATATTACGATAAAGTGAATCACACACATTTTTTGCTTTCCCAATATAAGGGTTATGTGTACACTATACCAAAATCCATTAAGCCTACAATAGCATTATGTATAAAAAGAAAAATAATTAATTAAAAAATACGTTATTGCTAAAAAAAAAAACAAAAACAAAAGTTAAAAACAAAAAACAAAAAAAAAAAGAGGGGGAGAATTGGGAATTTTTTAAATTTTTTGATTTATAGATATTGGAACCAGATGGGTGCCAGCGAAATGTTGGGATGGCTATGACAGTTTCTTAAATTAAAATAACCATGAAGTTTGTCTCATTGATTGACTCTTCCTTTCATGAAGGATTTCACTGTAGCATGTGTTGCTGTTTGATGACATTTTACCCACAGGAGAACTTCCTTCAAAATTCAATTCAGTCCTCTCAAATACTGCTGCTGCTTTATCAAGTTTATTCAATATTCTAAGTCCATTGCTGTGTTTTCAGCCATGTTCACAGCATTTTTACTAGGAGTAGATCCCATCTCAAGAAACAACTTTCTTTGTCTTTAATCATAACATTGCAGCAATTCAGTCACATCTTCAGGCACCACTTTTAATTCTAGAATTACAATTCTCTTGCTGTTTCCACCACACCTACTGTTCCTTCCTTCACTGGAGTCTTCAACCCCTCAGAGTCACCGATGAGGGTTGAAATCAGCTTCTAAACTCAGTTAATGTTGATATTTAAGCTTCTTCCCAATGGTCTTACCTAGAATGCATCTAGAATTGTGAATCACCACTTTCCAGAAGATTTCCAGTTTACTTTGCCCTGATGCATCAGAGGAATCTGTGGCAGCTAAAGCCTTGTAAAATGTATTTTTTTAAATAATAAGCCCCAAAAGTCGAAATTAGGTCTCAACAGTGGGCTTAAATAGTTGGTAAACCATGTTGTAGACAGATATGCTGTCCTGCAGGCTTTGTTCCATGTGTAGAGCACAGGCAGAGTAGATGTAGCATGATTCATAAGGGCCTTAGGATTTTCAATAGGGTAAATGAGCATTAGCTTCAGTTAAAAGTCACCACCTGCATTAGCCCTTAACAAGAGAGTCAGCCTGTTCTTTGAAGCAAGGCAGTGACTTCTCCCTAGCCATGAGCATCGTAGATGTGATCTTCCAAGATAAGGCTGTTGGGTCTACATTGAAAATCTGTCATTCAGTGTAGCCCCTTTCATCAGTTATCTTAGCTAGATCTTGGATAACTGGCTACAGCTTCTACATCAGCACTTGCTGCTTCACCTCGGGTGTTTTTGTTGTGGAGATGGCTTCTTTCCTTGCACCTCATGAACCAGCCTCTGCTAGCTTCTCTCAGCCTTCACAGAATTAAGACAGTTAGGGCTTAGGTTTTGGCCTAAGGGAATGTTGTGGTGGGTTTGATTTTTCCACCCAGACCACTGAAGTTTTCTCCCTATCGGTAACAAGGCTGTTTCGCTTTCTTATCCTTGGTGACAAAGTGTTTGGATCAAGAGGCCTACTTGTCGGCCTGGCTGGGCTGTCAACGGGCCTTCCTCGCTGAGCTTAATCATTTCTGGCTCCTCACTGAGAGTCATGCGACACTTCCTTTAGCTTGAGCGCTTTGAGGCCATTTTGGGGGGTCTTTATGGGCCTAATTTCAATATCGCTGCCTCTCAGGGAGCAGAGAGACCTGAGGGGAGGGTGAGAGACAGGGGAACAACCTGTTGGCAGAGCAGTCAGAACACGCAATGTTCACCCATCAAGTTCACCATATCGGCACCCCAAGACAACTACATCAGCAGCATCAAAGATTACTGATCAGAGATCACCGTAACAGATAAAATAACAATGAAAAAGTTTCAAATAGTGCGGGAATTATCAAAATGGAGGCACAAAGCGGGCCCTTGCTGTTGGAAAAACAGTGCCCAAGAACACAAAACCTTCAATTTGCCAAAAATGCAGTGTCTGCAGAACGCAGTACAACGAGGTGTGTTTGTAGGTGGTAAAAGGCTGGTTCCAGCCAACTCTAAAGACGGTGCTTTGGGCCTTTGGGCCTACCCTGAAACCACAGCATGGCCAGGGAGGCTCCTCATCTACTGTGCTGAGATCTGACTCTCTCTTTTAGTGTTATTTCAGAAGGCAGTTTAGTGCAATATTTTTCAGAACCGATTACTATTATTTTAAAAATGGAATAGAGCGCTGAGGATGAAGGTCTGGAAGGTTTGCCGTTGCCTTTGGTCAATTTACCACTGTTTTTTTTCTATTAAGTCTATTAATTTTTTCAGACAAATTCACCACTTCTATTTTTATTTTATTTATAAGGTGCTGTCATTGTGAATTACTAAGTTGGAGATATTTAATTTAGTACAAAATATTTTATGCAGGAGTGAGGTTTTTTTAGTTTAATTAGTATGTGATAATTACTCTCCCGAAATAAAGTTGCCTTCTTCTATTATTTGTTGCTAAATGAGCATTAAAAGGTGGTAAGAAAATGCAGAGCTGCTACCAATGCTAAAAAATACCATGCTTTGTTTTAATTGGAAATAACTGGGGAGCTTGTTCATTTCCAGCATCAACAAATTTCAGTAAATGCAAAGGAATTCGCATGTAGAGTTTGTAATTGCTTTTCAGCAGGCCTGTTTGACATGTAAATATAGAAAATAAAGTTATTTCCAGTCTCGGTGAATTATTGTAATTACTAATAGCTCTGAGTCTATCAGATTCTGCCTTACTTTTGCTAAACTACCAGGATAATTATTGATGCCATGTCCAGTGAACAGCAAAACCAGAGAAGTCAAAGAAGAGCAGTAATTAGAAGGCATGCTTATCAATTCAAAAACTTATGCCTATATCTTAAAACTGAATTTCAGTTATGGCTAGTTATGGTAAACGCATAGTTTACCTGTATGCTTTGACACGAGTTGCTGTTCTCTTGTGAACAGAATAAAATAGGCCTGTAATTAGGCTGTGCCATTCCCAGTTGGTCCAAATTTGCTTTCTCTGAAATGAGGAGTCCAGCAAGCAGCATGCAGGTCTGGATTATGTTTTCTTCTCCACAAAGCAGGCGCCGATTTGTTTTCCTACTGAATGGGGCACAATTCCAGCTAATTCTGGAGTCCTGAATGCAGCTTCTGTCCAAGGCCAGGCCACGGTGGCTCGTGGCTCTGTGTACCAGGGCTCACAGGGGTCCAGGAGACGCGTTGTTCCAAGGCTTCAGTCAGATTGGATTTCCTGAGGACGTGTAGCTTTTTCTGTGCCATTGTTGCTTTGGGGAGCCTACATGCAGCACATTTTGAAATTTTATTGTCCTTTTTGCCAGGTGATTTTTGAGAGCTCTCAGTCTGATTTAGCACTCCCAAATTCACTGTCATTCTGGACATCCCAGATGACCCTTCAGTTGTGTGTTACATACCTCT